CCTGCGTAGAATCCCCCAGTGAGGGGCTGGGGTGTGGCTCAGTGGTGGAGCCCCTGTCTAGGGTCCCCCAGTGAGGGGCTGGGGTGTGGCTCAGTGGTAGAGCCCCTGTCTAGGGTCCCCCAGTGAGGGGCTGGAGTGTGGCTCAGGGGTAGAGCCCCTGCCTAGAATTCCCCAGTGAGGAACAACTGCATACCATTCTACACAGCCCTGTGTGTGATTCCCAGCACCATCAAAAGGAGTGCTTGGCATCTTACAGGGCCAGACTTGGGAAGGAGGCTCTGTGTTTGAGGGATGATCAGCTGGAAAATGCTAAAGGGGCATCAAGGTGAGGTTCCTGTTAAAATGCAACTTCTCACTCTGGGCCGGGCCTTGGGATTCTGCCCTCAAACAAGGCCCCCACACCACGTGTGGAAGAATGTGTGTTTACCAAGTGAGAGCCCCATTCCCAATTCAATAGGGGGTGCCTGGGGCTCTCAGCATAGGGTGCTGAGGTGAAAGGGTTCATCCTGTCTGTCCTGGGAGACAGGAGTGAGGCTGCAGGCCAGAAACATGGAGGGACGCAGAGCACAGCCTGTGTCCACCTGGGAAAGAGGTGTCAGTGAACACTGTGGAGGAGTGCTGAGTACCATGCACCAGGTTACAGGAGCCAAAGGCTGAATTTGCAAAGACAAGTCCATGACTGGTCCCAATCATAACGTGAGGCTTGCAGCGTGGGTGCTGGGACTGGGCAGGGCGCGGCCATCAGCTTTGATCCAGGAGAGGGTGTTTTATCATGTCTGTGGTTTCTGTGTTTTGCACACTTCTGTGTGTGGTCTGTGTGATGACATGATCTCATCGTGGTCCCAACTCATTGAGTCATGATCACAGTGGCCCTGTGTGGAGTTGGTGTCATTGGGTACCTGGCCAGTAGAATCAGAGTTCCTGAGAGGCTCCTTCCCTCTTGAAACACAATAACATAAAGGAGACAGACAGGCACTGATTGGCTTCTCTTGTATGGTGTCTTGTGAAACACATGAGCTCCACAAGATGATCCTTTAACTGTGAAGCCCAGGTTAGCCCCATACTATGTAGGCTAGACTATCCTTGACTACCCTTGAACTCAGAGCCATCCTCCTGCCTCAGCCTTGTCACAGGGTCAAACGGCCACATGTAGGTACAAAGGAGCCAAGGCAGCCATGAGCCTGTACAACTGCAGGGCTAGGATAGAAAGGGAAAACGGGTCATGTGAGTCAGTAGTTAGCCAGGTAGGAAGAGAGACCTGTCAGGTAATGAGGAGGTTGGTGAGAAGGGGGTCTCATGTGAGGACCCTATCTGTCAAGTTCTAACCAGCAGAGGTTCTAGGAGGACTGGAAAAGACCCCTGACTGGATATCAGTATTGATCCTGGGCCAGAGTGGTCTGTCCCCCTGTGTCGTCCCCCTGATGCCCCCTTTGAGGCCAAGCCCAACGGTAATTCAGGGTCTTGATCCTGAATCTAGGGTCCCAGTCCCTGGGGGTGGGGAGTTTGGGGCTTAGAGCCAGGCTTGGGTGAATTGTGGAGCTCTGAGACTGTTTCTCAGGAATTGGCCTCGGAGCTGTCCACTGCTGGGGGCACCTTTTAAGGCTGCAGAGGGCTCTGGGCAGCTGACACTGGGTTCTCTGTCCGTAGGATCGCTCCTTGTGGATCTGGAGGCCACAGAGAAGGCAATGGCTTGGACTCTGGGCAGGCCCACCAAGTCCTCGTGAGTGGTCCCCAATCCCATGACCTCTGACTTCAGCTCCTGCAGAGCTGTGGGGAGCGACCCCTGACCTTGGAGGTCCCCATCCTCACCTCTCTCCACCCCCCCACACAGGAAGCAGTACCTGCGGCAGGTCATGGCAGAGTATGAAGCGCTGGACCGTGAGCTCCCGTGCATCCGGAAGTTCTCCTCTCCACCCTCTGCCCAGCCACTCTGCCTCTGCATGGAGACCTCAGTGAGCTGCTCCCCAGCTCTCTCAGGGTTTGGGCGTTGAAAAGGGCTGGCAGTGTTAAGTCAGGTTAAGGGCCAGGCATGGTGGTGCACAGCTGTAATCCCAGCACCCAATGGGCAAAGACAAGAGGATCAGGAGTTCAAGGCTATCCTCAGCTAGTTATGAGTTCAAGGCCAGCCTGGACTACCAGAGACCCTATTCTCATTTTGGGGGAGCAGCCCCCACTCTGCTTCTCCTCTGTTTTGTGCCTTTGAGGTAGGGACCCCAGACCACCACGGTACCACCCTGAGGGCTCCAGATCTCTGATCTGGGGAGCTAGGTAGGCCTGGTTAGTACTAGGGCAGGGGGATTAGGCCCTCCAGCCTCCTGGAAATATACTGAAGATTTGATAACAGGATAACTTTGTGGAGCCAGTTCTCCACTTCCACCGTTATGGTGGTCCATTGACCTCAGGTCACCAACCTTTCTTGGCAAGCATCACCAAACCATCTTGCCAGCCCATCCTCAAGATTTTATATGCTGGGACAACTGTGCACTGTAGCTGGTGTTGTACACGTCTTCCTGAGGTTACCTAGATGGATACAGTCCAGTATCCAAACCTCCTATGAGGCAGGGTGTGGTGGTGCACACCTTTGATCCCAGCACTAAGGAGGCAGAGGCAGGAGGATGTCTGTGAGTTCAAGACCAGCCAGGGCTGCAGAGTGTGGCCTTGTCTGAAAGCAAAATCAAAAGAAACCCGCCTCTGATCCTTTGATAACTGCACACACTTGACACAGGGGCTTGGGGTGAAATTCTGGCCACACTCAGCACCATCCACGGTCTGTCCCAGGGAGTAGGTAGCTGTGATCACCCCCGCTTTGGGCCCATGCCATGTTGGGGATGGCCTGGAGAGCAGGTGCCCTAACACGGGAGGGACACCTATCACCTCCCCTTGACCAGAGCGCAGGACTCTGAGATCAGGGGTCCCGCAGACCCGGCGGTTCTGCAGGCCAGGAGCCCGAGACGCAGGGCTGAGGCTGCGTCCCGCCACAGGAGGATTTCACACACCTGGAAGTGCTGGAGGCGCTGGAGGCTGAGCTGCCCGGGGCCATGGACAGCGGGCGCGTGAGCAGCATCCGCTTCGAGAACATGAACGTCATTTGCGGGACTGCGGGACGCAGGGACAGGTGAGTGGCTATGGGGCAGAGCGGGAGGGCAGCCAGGGGGCGGGGCCTGGGGGAGTGGTTGATGGGCAGAGAAGGAGGGCAGCCGGGGACGGGGCCTGGGGGAGTGGTTGATGGGCAGAGCAGGAGGGCAGCCAGGGGGCGGGGCCTGGGAGGAGTGGCTACCCGGTAGAGCTGGAGGGCAGCCAGAGGGCGTGGCCTAGGGGGAGCATGGGATGGGGGCGGGACCTAGGTGAAGTGGTTGATGGGCAGAGCTGGAGGGCAGCCAGGGGGCGGGGCCTAGGGTGCCCAAGGGGATGGAGAGGCAGCATGGCGTGGCCGGGTGAGGCCAGGTGGGAAGGGGCACGGCCCTCCATGGACGTCCCCGGGCTGTGGCCCCGCGCCGTCCCGCCCCGCCCCGCCCGCAGGTGGCTCGTCACCGTCACCGATTTCCAGACGCGCTCGCGCCTGCTGCGCTCGGGGCTCAGGCCCCGCAGCCTCGCGCACCCACTAGTACGCCACGACGACCTGCTGCTGGGTGACTACCGCCTGCACCTGCGCCGCTCCGTGGTCCGACAGCGCATGCTCGAGGCCCTGGGGGCGGAGCCTGCCGAGGAAGACTGACGCGCGGGGGGCGGGTGTGGGTCCCACTCCGCGGCCTGGGTGGAGAGGGGGCGTGGCCTCCCCAGGAAGGAGGCGGGGCCTGCTCGAGGGAGTGGATACTGTGAGTTTAATTATAAAGAATGACCTGGTACAAAAGCCATTTTTCTCAGCAAAATCTCGGTGGGGAGTCGGGGGGAAGGAGGTGGCGGGGGG